TCCTTGAAGAACCAATACAGCAGAGGAACCCCCATACAAGGTTTATAAAGAAGCGTTTGCTGGGTTTAAGGTTCCATTGAACTCATTGTTCTTCCCAAACATAAGAAGAAAAAAAACCCTAAACAAGAACTTTAAGGGAACCTTTTGGGAACCTCAACATTGGCGCTGGTATGGAGATGAAGGTAAAAAAAGAGGCTTTTCATGTGCTAGAAGTTGACCCAAAATGCACCTTATAAAGTTTTCCTATTGTTTAACTTTTAAGACTATGACATATCCCATAATGTTGATGCTCAAAGGTGGTCATAAGCTGAACGAAAACAGGATTTGGTCTTCAGATTTCAACACCTGGAGCAGACTGAAAACTGATGTGGTTGCAGTTTTTAAACAAAACTCAAATGTGTTCTTCAACCTTTAAAAATTCATGTGTCCATTTTTCTGTACCTGTAACTTGGAAAGTATTCGTAACATAAAGGTAAAACATTGCATTGCTTCATGACATGTATTAACGGTATCAGAATTACCCAAGAGAGAACAAATAAAAGACTGAAAACCAAACGACGACGGAGACAAATTAATCCACGAAAGCGGGAGAGTCTCATTTCTCTCGCTCTCCATACCGGAGGTGTAATTTCCACTTCTAATGAACATGTTTTGCCGGTTTAAGTGTGGAACGGATGCGCTGAATAATTAAATATGTAGTTAACAACATCCTTATTTACCAGAATCCGTCCTTTTCCTGTGTGTTTGTGTGTGTGCTACAGCTAACCGAGCGCAGAGCGGAGCAGCCAGCAGCTCCCAGACAGGAGACGCCTTAGGGAAAGCACTCGCATCGGTAACTACAGCGCTCCTTTCTTATCTTCCCCACGCTCTGTTCAAGGCTTTCTGAGGCTGTTGGAATGTATGTTTCTGCAGCTTTGCCTTCGTCGCTCTGACTCTGCGTCTCTTTCGTTTGCAGATCTACTCTCCGGACCACACGAACAACAGCTTCTCGTCCAATCCGTCCACCCCAGTCGGCTCGCCGCCTTCCCTCACAGGTAACGACGGCATCCGGCCAGAACACGCCGGACAACAGTGGTGGACAGAAGGAGCAGAGCTGACTCTAGACTCGGGACTACAGAAACTGATCTTGACTTGAACGATCTGAGACCTGACTTGAACTTGGACCTGTGACTCTAGATGACATTGGTTTGAATGACCTATGACTTGGACTGGAGTGACAGAAATGACGACTTGAGATTTGACTTGGTCTTGTTTCACATTACTTGAGACTTGAACTTGACTTAAAGGGCTTAAGACTCGACTAGAACTTGTTTTAAATGACACAAGACTCTACATGACATTGGTTTGAACGACTTGAGACTTGGACTGGAGACAGAGGTGCGTAAATCGCAGAAATGAGGACTCGAGATCTGACATGGTCTTGTTTCAAATGACTTAAGACTTGAACTTGACTGAAAGGGCTTAAGACTTGATGTGGGCTTGTTTTAAAGCACTTGAGACTTGACTTGAACGTGCTTTAAATGACCTGTGACTACATGACGTTGGTTTGAATGACTTGAGACGTCGCATCAACTTATTTTGAATGACTTGAGACTAGACTTGACCTAACTGACCTTAGAATTGACTTGAATTCATCTGAAATGAAATAAGACTTGACTTGAACTTGTTTTAAATGAAATGAAACTCTACATGACCTTAGGTTGAATGACTTGAGACTCGGACTGGAGACAGAAGTGCTTAATAAGAAGAACTGAATCCTTTTCTTCAATGACTTGAGCCTCAAAGTGATCAGAAATGACTCGACTGGAACCCATTACAAATAACTTGCAAACTGACTTGACCCTCTTCTAAAAAGACAGAACTTCTGATTTGAACTTCTGTTACGTGGCTTAACAAGTCATAATCCAAAATTACTCTTGACTGGACTTGGATTAGTTCAGATGACCTAAGAACTAACTTCTTCTAACTCACTTGAGATTTGACTCGAACTTGTTTCTAATGACTCGCAGCTTACCTTGAGCTCATTTAATCTACAACAACTTTTAACTCGTTGACTCGAGAATTAAGTTGAACTTTCTTCAAATCAGTTGAGTCCTAACTTGAACTAGAATGACTCGTGACTCAGCCCAGACTTTGGACAGACCCAGTTTCAAATGACTCGTGACTTGATCTTTGGAGCTCTACCGTAATCAAACGATTTTCTAATTGTCGTGAAGTTTTAAACTTCTTTCCACGACTCAGACGGTTTAAAATGACTTTCGACTTGATGATTCGAGTTCAACTTTTTTCGACTTGAACTTCAACGACTTGACTTTGGAGATGACTTGAGACCATTTTTTTAAATGAGTTGTAACTTTATTTGGATCTTTTTAAAATCACATTATACTTGAATTTGATCATTTTTCACAGGATTTGACTTGTTCTTTATGAAAACGCTACAACGACTTCTGACTTGGACTCGTTTTAAATGAGCTGAGCTTAAATTTTACGATTTTTTTTTTCAAATTTGAGACTCAACTTGAACTTGTTTGAAATGACCTGTGACTCTACACGACGTTGTTTTGAATGACTTGAGACTTGACTTGACCCAACTGACCTTAGAGTCGACTTGAACTCATCTAAAATGAACTTACTTGACTAAAACTTGTTTCAAATGACCTGAGACTTGACATTAACTTGCCTGAAGTGATTTAAGACTTGATTTGTCTAAAATGATCCAAGACTTGACTTGAACTTGTGTAAAATTACCTGAAACTTTACTTGAGCTTCTTCAGAATGACTTTTGAAAGACTTGACCAAGTTTCACACCGTTTAAAATCATTTTCGAGCATCGAGTTCAACTTTTTTCGACTTGAACTTCAACGACTTGACTTTGGAGATGACTTAAGACTCGACTTGACGTTGTTTCAAATGACTTGAAACATGACTTGACCCTTTTTTAAATAATCTAACTTTATTTGCATCTTTCTTAAATCACATTAGACTTGAATTTATTCTTTATGAAAACGCTGCAACGACTTCTGACTTGGACTAGTTGTAAATGAGCTGAGCTTAAATTTATCAAATTTGAAGACTCGACTTGAACTTGTCCAGACTAGAGACTTGAATGAGACTAATTACAAATGACTTTTGACTTTATTTGAACCATTTCTTTTGACCTCGACCTTTTTACTTAAACGAACTAAAACAAACAAGGACTTTAACTAAAACATTTTATTTAATTTCTATTTAAATTCGGTTTCTTATCAGACGTTCCATCGCTCGGTGTAAAAACCAAAACCATAAAGCCGCATTAATAACCGCTGCATCTCCCCTCCGCTCCCCCTTCTCCTCCTCTTGTTCCCACCAATTACTCCTCCTCTCGGCGGATGCTGTAAACTCCGGCCGCCCCTTAAAGTGAAAAATGACTTTTCCTAATAATAGTTGTGTCGAATTTGTCTCTAATTGTCGCCGCTACACACACCGTTTGATATTTTCTCCGCCGCGCCTCGTGACTGATAGCTTTAATTACGAGCACCACTTCGACAAATCGTTCACAAAACCTAGCGGCTCCGCAAACACCGGCCCCCTCCTCCTCGTCATTATGGCTGCCTGGGATATTGCCTGCGAAACCATAATTGGTGTTTATCATTGTGTCAGAGTTACTCCACTTTTTACAAATTAGAAATGAAGCCTATTAGAGCAAACTACATGCAAATTGATATCCAAGGCTAATTCTGCGAGGGTGTTTTACAGCGTCGGACTCGGATTAATTTACCCCGCCGTTTAATACATATATTTGTATTTGCACATGAATGTACCCAGGTGATTATTCATTAATTAGCATATGGAAATGAGCATGTAATATGAATAAAAAGGAGAGGGGAGAGAAAAGACTGCGAGACAAAATGGGAAGACAATGAAAAAGAGAAACATGTGCTAATGAGATGAGATCAGAGTTACAAGGAAGAGATCAGCGTCGAGGGCGGAGATGAGGAGGGAGGGGATGGAGGGTAAATAGAGGAGGGCAGATTCACCTGTCTGGGCAGGTTCAGACAGGATCATAACCAATCAGCTGGTTTAGATGTGGCTTGGGGTTTTCAAACTGGTGCTTATTTATTGAAAAACTAAATTTTTATTGGATTTGCTGATCATTCTATACATGCAGGTTATATGTCCCTGCAGTTATGACTTCCCATTCGTTCAAGGCTAATTCATGCTTTCCACATGTTTGTAAGAGTTTTAATTTATCATTAGAAGAGACGTAATCGCCTCCTGAATCTGAAGTGCTTTGATCAGTCCATGCCCTAAACACAGTAGGAAGTTCTCCAGAAATCCTGTGCTATTATCTGTAGTACCCACATTTATAATTCATAATTGGAAGACACGTAATCGCAGTAGTTGCTTCTAGGGTGGCTGTGGTTCAGGTGGTAGAGTGGGTTGTCCACTAACTACAAGGTTGGTGGTTCCATCCCCCGCCGCTCCACAGTCGAAGTGTCCTTGGGCAAGAACCCTTTTGGGCCCTGAACCCAAAAGTTGCTCCCAATGGCAGGCAGCACCTTGCATGGCAGCTCTGTCACCATTGGTGTATCAAATGTATGTCACTTTGGATGAAAGTGTCTGCTAAATGAAATTGTAATTGGCCTTTGGAGGCTCTTCGATTTGTACCTGCCCAAACTCATTCGGAAGTTCTAAATTCTTCTCCAGAAATCCTGTGCTGCGTCCACCCCATTGGCCCGGCACCTGCAGTCCAGATCTGAATCCGTAGACCGCAACGGAAATTTCGTCATCCACCCCAGTCCATAAGCGTCTGAGCCCAAAAACAGACTGTTTGCATTGACAGAGCGCCTACCAGGAGGCCAGGAAAACAAATGGTGCCGAAAACAAATATTTGCTTCTAGGAGACATTCTGCCAGGAGCTTCTCTGTCATCCACATATTTATAATTCATCATTTGACGAGACAGAATCGAAGTAGTTGTTTTCGAACTTCGGAGGCACTTTTGATTTGTACATGGCCAAACTTATTTGGAAGTTCTAAATTCTCCAGAAGTCCTGTGCTACGTCTACCCAATTGGCTCCGCATCTGCAGTCCATGTCCGCATCCTCCACCCTCAAGGGTAACACAGTTTTTGTCATCCTCCCAAGTCCACAAAGCCTAAAATTTCCGATTGCACAGACAGTCCGCGCTGCAAGCACATGAGCTGCTCGTATTTCTAATTCATCATGAGAAGAGACGTAATCGCAGTCGTTGCTTCTGGACTTTGGAGGTACATCGATTTGTACACGCCCAGAGCACAGTGGGAAGTTCTAAATTCTCCAGAAATCCTGTGTTAAGTCCATCCGCTGTCCTCGCTACTCTTCAGGAATAATAATGGAAACCAAGGGTATACGTAGTCAGGAGTCTGCGGTGCAAACACAACTTTTGACCCAACTTGGTGAACTTACTGTCCTATTAGCAAACAGGGCTAATGGGAGTAGCTAGCAGGTAGAAAGCTCACAAGCATGAGGATCTTTTATCTCTCTTCAGTGAATCTTTATTGAATAATGTTGTATAGTACATATTTGAAACTCTGTCAGGGACTGTAAAAAGAAAAAGAAAACCCCAGCATAGTTCTGACTGGCTGACCAGCATGCTAGCATGTCAGCAGTTAGCTTGTAAGCTACAGATGCTCAACAACTGCTCTTTCCTTTGATTAGTCACCGTGTCCCCTCTGAAATCTGTCTAAAAGACCTCCACGCAGCATCTCACCGAGCCTTATATTAATGTAAATCCACTCCGGTCGCCGTCTCGTCGCGCTACCAGCTAATGAAACCTGTCGATTCAGGTGCGACCCTTCAGAGTGACGACCGGCACAAAAGCAGAGACAAACACAGACACAAAGCTTGTTTATTCTGCAGAGGGCCCAATGCTAATCAACCACTTGTACCTTCTCAAAACAAAGGGCCGATATTAGCATTTTTTGCTACGAGATATGAGTCGGTTTGTTTTTGTCTTCCCTTTTCCTCGTCTCTGCGTCTATTATGTCTGAGCACCACGAGTGGATACGATGAGAGTCTCCTTGTGTGTGAAGACGTTTTGTCTGGCGTTCGGCGCTTCACGTCGAGTGGTTTCGTTCTTTGTAAAAGCAAGAGGAGGTTGTCATTTGTTTTTTTTGGGCTCTAATCTACACGCAGACATCCAGTTGTTTTCTGCAGGGGGCTGGAGGACGCTTCAGGTCGCACTAGTCGCACATGTTGGTGCCATCCCAAATGAAAGGATGTCGGTTTGAGGGAAACAAAAGTTGAATCTCCCTTTGACCTTTGGTTGTTCCACGTCTCCTCTCCTAACGATGCCTCCTTGTGTCCTCTCTCCTAGCTGCAAGTTCAGCCGTCTGGTCGAGGAACGGCGGACAGGGAGCGTCGTCGCCGAACTACGAGGCCCCGCTGCACTCTCTGGTAAGATACGTGGCATTTTTAAAGGGTACATTCACCCAAAACCATTTTCAGGTATTTTTGTTTGCTAAAGTTTTATATCTCCTACAAGCTCATCACAGCCCTGCAGAGATGAACATTCTCGTTTATGCTCCCTATACTTTTTCACTGTTGTCTTCAGTACAAACTACTGTACATCCCATTGTGCAGGCAGAAACCGAAAAACCCAAAAAATTTCTTTGCAGCGAGTCAATGGGGGTTTTTCTTTCATTTGGGTGAACTGACATGAAAAAGTTAATATTTGATCCTTGTTGATGCAGTCGGTAAAGATAACGTTGATGTACTCGAACACCAAAATCAGCTTTAAATAGATTTCATATTATTTTGTGGAGAAGCTTTCACACGGATAGAAATTAGATAATGGTAATATCCACAGATACCCATGAGTGTGTTTAAAATATACGTACGTATACAAGATGGAGTAATTGTGTAGGTTAACCAGTGCTTTTATGATTTCCCTGTGGTGAACATGTAAGTCCTTATAAATAACTCACAAATTAATGGTTTCATTTTCAACAAAGGCAATTTTCTGAAACAGACGGACGCTGGAGTTTCTAGCGAATATCTCTCAAACTGTTTCCTTTGAGCCGGTAGACGGTTTTTGTTGAGTCCAGACAAACGTGTGTGTTGGTGGTAATGAAGCAACATGTCACCCGGTGCACCGGTGAGGCTCGCTGATGTGTTTTTAATAGGTTTTGGACAACAGTGGAGCGCCGTGGCTCAGAGGAATCAGATATATCAGGCTTTGGAGACGATACGCAACAATTATGGCGACGATTAGGCAAATGTAGAACATTGCTCACCCTGTGTTGGTAACTCACTTATGTTCTGTGGGATCCTTCTGAAACTTCTAATTAATTGCAGCCACGACTCCGCCTCCACAAATTCCTGTGCGACTAAACTGCATGTTTTGACGGATTATGTTTGCCTGTAATGTAATCCATGTATTTTTGTATTTTGCCACTTGTTTGACATTTTTAGCCAACCAATCAGGTATAAGTTGGCATTGTCACCTTGGTAATCCAGAAAAAGCTTGAAATATGTAGCGAAAGAGTCGTATTTTAACCCAAACCGTGACCTTTTTCCAAACTCCAACCAAGTAATGTTGGTGCCGAACCTTAACTGAACTTCTAACGTGTAAAAATGTCGAACAAAGCACGATATTTTCCGCAACCAAAGTCTTTAGGACGACCGTCCCTCACCGGTCAAAACTGGGAACTTCTTGTCTCAGAGTGACGCTGAAAAACTAGTCCCGCATTTGTAACTTCGAGTCGCATTTGAACCCAAAACAGGACATTTTCAAACTCTTACCAAGCAATATTGGTGCCGAACCTTAACCAAGCTTCTAACGTGTAAAAATGTCTAACAAAACACGACATTATCAGAAACCAAACCAGTAAGGAGTAAAAAACGAAGATGTACAACAAGAGGAAACAAAACCTGATTCTGAGACTTGGTTGGTTGCAGTAGAACATACGTTTGTGGAGACCAGGTTGCAAAAACACACAATCTAAGCATACATTGACTCTGGCGTCCAGCACCTTCGAGTTGTTTTCAAACTGGATTTGTCTTTTAACCCACATATTGAACAAGTCTTTAGGACGACCTTCCCTCACCAGTCAAAACTGGGAACAGCTGAAAAACTAGTATCTGCGTTTGTAACTTCAAGGCACATTTGAACCCAAACCAGGACATTTTTTCGAACTCTAACCAAGTAATTTCGGAGCCAAACCTTCACCAAGCTTCTGACGTGTAAAAATGTCTAACAAAGCGTGATATTTTCTGCAACCAAACCAGAAAGCGAGTGAAAAACAAAAAATAAGAACATCTTGTCTCAGAGGGATCCTGAAAAACGAGTCTTTGCATTTGTAACTTTGAGGCACATTTGAACCAGGATGTGTTTTCGAAGTAATTTCGGAGCCGAACCTTAACCAAGCATCCAACAAGTGTCCAACAAAGCGTGATATTTTCCTAAACCTACCGTAGTTGGTGTACCTAAATCTAACCAGAAAGGGAGTAAAATCAGAAATAACCAACAACAGAAACTCAGTTTTGACGGCTTCTTGTCCAGCAAACTTTGGTCTGCTGGGTAACAATCACCAACCAGCAACCCGACTTTAACGCAAACCTTTAAACCAACCGCCTTTCCCACCACGTCACCGCTCACAAATCACATTCACGGTTTAGTTGTATAGATGTGTAATTTTGCGGAGACGAGGCCAGATGGTATCGGCAACATTTCTCAGATTTCTCGTCGTCTTCTCTGCAGCAAAGTCGTATCGAGGACCGCCTGGAGCGTTTGGACGATGCCATCCACGTACTGCGGAGCCACGCGGTGGGACCGTCGACGGGTATGACCAGCGGCCACGGCGACATGCACAGCCTCATCGGGGCGGCACATACGCACAACGGCGCCATGGGAGCTCTGAGCAGCGGCTACGGGACGGGCCTGCTATCGGCCAACAGACACTCCCTCATGGTAGGTCGATGTTTTAACGCTGCGCAGATGGTCCGGGTGGGTTTTTAAAAGAAAACATGCACCGGCGAGTCCAGAAACGATCGTAAAATACTGGTTAAATAAGACAAGATAAAGGTTTTTGATCCGGATCCAGCGCAACGGAGGGAGTACAGCAATGATTCTTGGAGCTTCAAAGCGCTTCGTGGCACGTTGCTTTAAAACCACGTTTGTAATCAGAGGCAAACGGTGCTTTACCGGGTCGTTTGTCTTGTGGATTGAAATTAACCCTAAAATTAGTCTATATTGTTCATTTCTGACTAATTACCACCTGGAAAACGAGAGCATCTTGAAACAAAAAGTGAATTGTGAACTCAAAAAAAAAAAAAAACAAGCCGGAGAGGAGAGTTTTAAATTAAGAGACGGCGGTAATGTTTTCCACATTCGAGGCTTTTTTAGTCAACTTCAAACAATAAACATAAAGAAGCAAACAGCTGTGTGACATAAGGAGATGTAGGAGGGCGACATTATGAAATACAGCGTGCAGAGTAAACACATCCAGATGCCTCCACATGTTCAGGCAGACCTGCAGCCTGAAACTGTGACTTAGACGAGCTGCTCTCTGACTGGTCCATCAGCGCTAATGACATGTGGAGCGTTTCCATCCTGCAGGTTTCTGACACCAACAACCAAACTCGCATTAGAAACAGACACGTTCGCACTGAGAGAGTTAGCGATCAGTTTGGGTTTATTGCTCAAATGTCACTTGTTAACTTGGCTATTTATTTTTTTCATGGTGGCCACGATCAGGTTCCAGATTCATCAACTGCCCACAAACAGAACAACAACTAAGGATGCAGAGTCAGAGGGAAAATGACCTTCATGGCTTCGCTAAAACTAAATTTCGGGACGTACTTTAGATTATATTTGCCAGTTTTACTTTGTTTTTATAGTAAAACGTGACATTTTGGGGCCTAAACTTAACCAACATGTTGAACAAAGTGAGATATTTTCCTAAACCGAGCCACAGCGTTTCTGTTTTTTTTTGTCTAATCCAAACCAGAAAGAGAATAAAAGTAACAGAAAGAGAAACTAACTGTGAGACTGAAGGTCTTTTCGCTCCACGTTACAGGTGACAGATTACTGATCTCAGCGACTAACTCAGTGTTACTACATATTTCTAGTTGGACGCCGTGTTGTGTGTTTGATCCAGCAGTGTTTTGTTGTGGCTTTAATGAGCGTAGCAGCCTGTAGGGGGCGCTGACTCTGCTCTACTGTACTGTAGTGTACTGTAGTGTACTGTACTATAGTGTACTGTGGTCTAGTGTAGTGTAGCATACTGCAGTGTAGTATATTGTAGCCTAGTGTACTGTAGTGTACGATCGTTACTGTAGTGTGGCGTATTGTACTGTAGCTTAGTGTACTATGGTGTACTGTATTGTTGTGTACTCTGTTACAGTGTACTTTACTGTGCTGTAGCATAGTGTATTGTATTGTAGTGTCTTTTACTGTACTGTGCTATAGTGCAGTGAGCTGTTGTGTACTGTCCTGTAGTGTAGCTTAGTGTACTGTAGTTTACTGTAGTGTAGTTCGGTGTGATGTACTTTAATCTACTATGATGTGATGTAGTACAGTCTCCAGTACTGCACTGTACTATAGTGTAATGTACTGTACTTTACTGTAGTCTAGTGTACCTTACAGTATTGTAGTGTAGTTTACTTCAGTGTACTGTACTATAGTGTACTGCAGTCTACTGTGCTGTAGTGTGTTGTAGTGGACCGTACTGCAGTGTACTTTACTGTAGTGTGCTGTAGTGTAGTATACTGTACTGTAGTCCAGGCTCCAGTCCTGTACTGTACTGTGATGTACTGTAGTGTACTGTAGTCTACTATACTGTACTGTCCTTTAGTGTTTAGTGTGATGTACTGTAGTATACTGTGTTGCAGTCTCCCAGTCTCCAGTACTGTACTCTGATGTACTATAGTGTAGTGTACTTTACTGTAGTGTAAGGCAGTGTGATGTACTGTAGTATACTGTAGTCTAGTTTCTAGTCCTGTACCTTGTTGCCGTGTTACAATGTTACAATGTTACAATGTTACAATGTTACCATGTTACCATGTTACCATGTTACCATGTTACCGTGGTACTGTGTCCTGACTGCAGAGCTCCAGGAGCTGTTGTCTGTTTCAGTCTCTGGTCTTCGTTAAACCATTTACTTTGAAGTGTTGTTTTCTAAATGGAGAGCACCTGTGTGTGTGTGTGTGTGTGTGTGTGTGTCCGTCCTGCAGCTCCGTGTTCTCACCTGTTGTGTTTTATTGGAGACACCTGGTTCATGTGGAGCAGATAAATCCACAGAAACACGTTGAGTTTGTCCTAAAAAGGCAACAAGTGCAACTAAATGAAGTTAAATTGTGGTCTGACCTGAAAATAACAAAGCTTCTGCCACCACCGCTGAAGAACCAGGACCTGCTCTGGTCCTGGTAGCACCACTGTGACGGGACTTTTTGATATTTATTTTAAAAAGAAGCAGGACTCAGACTGATTTATTTCCTCATAAACATTGTTTTAATCATGATTATTACATACTGTAATGTAGTAAATGTTAAAAGCACTATAATATGTATAAATCCATTTATAGTTACTGATGCTGTGGTGATGGATCGATCAGAGGCTTCAGTCGACTAAATAAATCTTCTGTTTCATTCAACGAGTATTTAAACATTCAACCCCAGGGTTTGCTGTAAAGTGCTGCGTTTAAATCAATTCATCACATTTTAGCTGCGTCTCTGAGAACCAGCAGACCTCTGGAGCGCTTTAGCGTCTTTCAGCTCTTATTTTGAAGGCCGGCTCACTTCCTCCAGCTCTGATTTTCCAGAATAAAGCGGCGACAGACTCCCTACGCTGCACCAGAATGAACCATTTAGAGCCACAAACGCGTCTACAGCTGGTTGTTTGGTGCAGAAAGATGCTTATGAATGCAGCTTTAAGATAAGAAATAAATAAAGGAGGTGGTTTCAGGTTGGAACGACGCGAGAGGGGAACGGAGAATTAGCATTTTTAGAAGATTTATGTAAGAAGGGACATGCACAACAAGAATAACTTCCATAAAATAAATCTGCTTTTTAAAAAGAGCCAAGTGCTGCTCTGATCTACGAAGGATATTAAACATTAGAATAGATTTATAGACTATTCATGAATTAAACACCTAATATTTGTAGTAATTTTCTACTTTTTCTAAGCTTGATGAAGCATAAAATGAATTTTTGAAGGTTTTCTTGACCCGTATTTTGAAAGTTTGAGCCCAACAGTGCGTCCGGATTCGTGATAAGATCTCAAATTTGCACCGAACGCCTAAAATTGAGGATAAGTACTTAATTAAAACCACTCCTGACACAACGTCGGGCCGATCCGCTCCATTGACGAACGCTGGACGGGTTCGGCCAAAGAAAGCTGTCAGAGTTTGCTTCTCGTTAATGTCTTTACAAACTTCTTCTGGTTTAAAATGAGTCCAAACACGTCCCGGGTTTGTTTTCGTACAGAATGAAGCGACGGAGGAGCGATGAGACGCCGTTCAGCTCCTTAGAAACTCATTTATAAACCGGTGTCTGTTTGAGTGTTTCTGCCGAGAACACGGCGGCTTTATCGGACGCTCCTCGTCTCAAACCTCCAGACTGGGAGGAAACGAAGCCACAAGTTTAAATATTTAACGCTCAGCGCTGGACTTTCCTGCAGCAGAGGAGAAATTCTCCTAATTATGAGCGACTACCTCGTAATTGCAGATCTCGTAATTACGGGGAAAGGTTACGGCAGTTAGCAATCATGGCTACCTCACATCTAGCCGTCCTCCGGAGGTCGTTTCTGTTCAACATGAGCAGGAATGTGATTTTAAAAAGTGAATTTTGGGCTAAATGTCATGAATTGCACCGTCTGATGCGACTTTGGCTTCGTTTTTTTAGCCCGTATTTGTTCATATTTTGAGGAATTAACCAGAACCAGACTGTCATTTGGAGAAAAACGCAATTTTTTTTAGAATTTAGACGAATGTGTCGTGTTGTGACCTTTAAAAAATACAAGACTTTGCTGCTTGTTGGTCAATTTTAATCTTTTGCGGTTCGATCAGTTCACCTAAAATCATCACATTTATTGATGAAAAATCCACTAAACCAGCTTCAAACTTCTTTATCTTGAACTGTGAGTATTTAAAATGTCATCTGTCATGCTTTTAGCTTCATATATCAAATACTTTCTGACTTTAAAAATCGACCGTCGACACATTTTCAGCAGGTTTTTTTGCATTAAACTTCGAGGCTGTTTGGACAAGAATATCTGAGGAACTGTTAAAGATAAAAACCTGAAATTTCCACTCATATTTCTCATCATGTCACTGATTCAGAATCTGTAATTTTGGACACGTAGATCAAATAATGTGTGATTTATGGGGATTTGAAAAATGCTAAAAATGTCATGAAGAGTTCCATCTTTGAGCTCATATTGATGAATTAATCAACTAGTGATGTTTTGTGAACCACGTGTAGCTGCAGGTCACAATAAGACAAAACTAAACATGTAGGATGCTTTTATTTTGAAATATTTGGTCACAAAAACGAAAAAAAAGTTTTGGGTTTTTTTGTGCTTTCACAACTCAACAGACACATTCCCTGATCAGGAAGCAGCTTTAACCCCAAAAATAAACAAGATTTGTGTTTGTCTGATTATATATAATAATTAATTCTGATTAGATGATTAACATATACATAAAAAGTTTGTTTCCACATCTGCTCCCTGACTTTATTCGTCCAGAACTCGTGAGTCGGGTTCATCTACTGTGTTGTTAATATAACAGATGGACTTTTATTGTGGAAAATAATCTACAGTCGGTAGTTTGTGGGTTTAGGGATGTAAAATGAAAACATTTGTTCAAGTTGTAACGAGGCCGAATGATTTGGGAAAAAAAACATCTTAATGTGAGTTCTCTGACAGATTTTACAGTTTGGTTCTTTAAAGTCAGACTTTCAGTTCAGGAT